TCTTAGTTCTCGGGTCTTGGAAGGTCTAAGGACTGAGGCTGACGTTGCCTTGACCGGACAAAGAGAAACAGGCACAAACACATTTTGCCCATGTCAGATACATACAGTACATATAGTGGGCCCACGATCCCCAGGACGAAATTCCATTTCGATTTTCGACTTTGCATTGAACTTCACCCATCGCCGTTTCCGTTTCCGTTTTAGTTTCAGTTGCAGTGGCAGCTTTTCGACTTATGCAATCCACCTGCAGAACGATGCGGAAGTGGGTGAGACTCGACTCGACAGGACTCGACTCGACTCGACTCAATTCGATTCGACTCTTCTCGACTCACGTAGCGACTTTTGGATACATATGTACATACGTACATATCTTGTAAATAGGTCGCTGCAGCAGAGCACCGACTCATCGACATCGGCGGCATCTAGAAAGGAGGCGACAATGACGTCACAGCCGCATCAGGCCGTGCCGCTGACCTATATAAACCCTAGCAAGTGCGACAGAGACGAACACAGAGAGTGAAAGAGAGGACAGGAGTATGCATAAATTTCTGACTGACATTTACATATAGTAGATAAACAACAGAAGTTGCTTCCATGTACATATAGTAGACAAACAACAACAATTGTTTCCATATACTATATGTTCTCTACATGGATGCAGAGAAGGTATAAATGGTATAAAGTCGGCCTACTACACCTGGTCCCAAACTGTTTGTTGACATTTAGCTTGAACCGGCCTTTTACGCCTTGCACTCTCTTTTTGCGGCTTGCAACAGCTGCTGACGTCACACCGAACAATAGGCCAATTTGCGGTTAAAATAACTTGACATAATCGGTGTATCATTACGAAATTCTAGACCCACATTAATCGAGGGCCACCCCCAGGCATTAGTTATTTATATGCCAGTTAATAGCGGGTTGTTGTACTGACATTTAGCAATTTTTTGCTTTGCTTGCTTTCTTTATGGCAAGTGACAACCCTGGCCTCAGCCTTCCTCTGCGCTTCTCATTAACCACAGTTTAGTGGTCTAAAATATCTCTGCGTAGGACAACTTATTACAAGTATAGCAATTACAAATTGATTTCAGGTAGAACTAAGACGAAATGAAAGCTAAATTTATTTTTATTCTGAAAGAAAACAAATGTTTTGAAGTTTAGACAGCTTAACTCCATTCTCTGCGCTTCTCAATCAATACACTTAAGGGGTATAACATTCTTGTTACAACTAGTTACTTAAGATATTAATGTTTGGTTGTAAAACCGATAAATTACTTTATTTTATCGCGGATAAAAAGGCGATGAACGGTAATTTACAATGCCATTATTATGTTGACCATATGTAGGACCATAAATATGAAGAAGCGGCAAGATGGAGTTGCAACCGGAAAAGATTTATGCCGACAAACAATTTGTTCGAGCAGGCACTCGCCATTATTGCAGCCGAGTGGATGGGGATAACTGATGGGGATGAGGACAGGGCTTTAGGGTTTTGGGGGTGGGCCAGTGCACTTACACGCTTAATTAAATGCCACGGCACGGCGCCAGAAAGCAGGCAACGGCAACGGCAACGGCAACCTGCCATGCAACGCCAAAAAGTTGCCAGCAGCAACAGCAGCAACAATTGCAGCAGCAACAGCAGCAACAATTGCACATTGTCAGCAACATCAGCGATAAGGGCGGAAAATGTTGGGCAAACTGCCAGAAAATGGGTGGTTCGATGATGGTGTTGCTGTGGTTGAGCCCCATTCGTTGGGTCGTTTTTATATGCGATTGTAATACAATTTCAATTACAAGTGTAAACATAAGTATATTGCCGGCGTGGGCGTGGGCGTGGTGTGTCTACAATATATACACAAATATATATATGTAGTAGTTGGGGAGTGCAATGAATTTAATTTGAACGAGGCCTAAGCGAAAGGATAAAGTGTTCAAGTACCTTGTCCTCCCCCTTTCGCTTTTGCCTTTGCCTTTGCATCCACAAAAAGTTGGCATCGCAATTGCGAATTGCAATTTGAAATCGAGAAAGTGAGGCTGAAAATCCCCGACTGCCGCCGGCCATGCAATATGCATGGCCATTGAATATTCAATGGCAGAGCATCTGAAAATTGATTCGAGCCAAAAAGTAATTAAAGACCAGGCCACTGGAGAGCTTAAAGATCGAAGGCATTGAATAATGGAGACGCGACTTTCAGTTAAAAAGAAAGTCGAACGACGAGACGTCTTCAAAGTAATTGCTGTTTGGCTTACTTTGGGTAATTAGGTTAAAAGTTAGCACCAGACTTTGATTGAATTCATTAGGTTGAGCTGCAACGAGCTGTAGTTTCGGTCTTGATTATCTTAATCAATTTGCAATTGAAAACTTATTTCTTACTAACACTCATTTACTTGGGTAAAGGAATCATTAAATAATATACCAAAGTAATCCCTTCAATTCACCCTGAAATCCATCAACTATTTTTAATGGATAGATAAATCTTGTTTCTGATCCCAATAATTTTAAGGAAAATTTATTTGCAAAAAATGCGAAAAATCAAAAATGTTCAGGTTTGAATGCCAATTTGTTGGAAATTAAGCAACGAGTTCAACGAGGTATGACATTCCTCGATCTGACGTTTATTTTCTTTATTACAGCCAAAAAAACTGAATTTTTAGGGCGAAAAAATGGGATTCCGATTTTGGTCAAAAATATGAGATTCCTTTTTTAGTCAAAAATACGCTTTTTCTTTCCAGTTTTTCTATCGTGGTTTAGTCAAATCAAGGCGTACAGCTAAAAGACCGACTGTTTTGAACAGCTTGCTAAATTTGCTAACGATCCCAATCAATAAAAGAAAAAATTTATTTTTTGACCGATTTTCGCATTTTTTGTAAGTTGCATCATCTTTTCTTGGAATTCAGATTTTGGTCAAAAATAACCATTTTTTAACCGTTTTTCGATCGTAGTTTAGCCAAATCAAGACGTACAACCAAAAGACGGACAGTTTTGAGCAGCTAACATCCTAAGCTAACAAATCCAATCACTTTAAAGGAAATTTATTTTTTGACCCATTTTTTCATTTTTTTTAAGGGGTTGCATCATCTTTTTTTGGGATTCAGATTTTGGTCAAAAATACCCATTTTTTAACCGTTTTTCGATCGTAGTTTAGCCAAATCAAGGCGTACAGCTAAAAGACCGACTGTTTTGAGCAGCTTGCTAAATTTGCTAACGATCCCAATCAATTTAAGGAAAATTTATTTTTTGACCAAATTTCGAATTTTTGTAAGGGGGTGCATCGTCTTTTTTTGTAAAAAATGCGAAAAGACAAAAATTTTTAGGTTTGAATGCCAATTTGTTGGAAATTAAGCAACGAGCTCAACGAGGTATGACATTCCTCGATCTGACGTTCATTTTCTTTATAGCAGCCAAAAAACTGAATTTTTAGGGCGAAAAAATGGTATTCCGATTTTGGTCAAAAATACGAGACCCATTTTTTAGTCAAAAATACGATTTTTCTTTCCAGTTTTTCAATCGCAGTTTAGCCAAATCAAGGCGTACAGCTAAAAGACCGACTGTTTTGAGCAGCTTGCTAAATTTGCTAACGATCCCAATCAATTTAAGGAAAATTTATTTTTTGACCAAATTTCGAATTTTTGTAAGGGGGTGCATTGTCTTTTTTTGTAAAAAATGCGAAAAGACAAAAATTTTTAGGTTTGAATGCCAATTTGTTGGAAATTAAGCAACGAGCTCAACGAGGTATGACATTCCTCGATCTGACGTTCATTTTCTTTATAGCAGCCAAAAAACTGAATTTTTAGGGCGAAAAAATGGTATTCCGATTTTGGTCAAAAATACGAGACCCATTTTTTAGTCAAAAATAAGATTTTTCTTTCCAGTTTTTCAATCGTAGTTTAGTCAAATCAAGGCGTACAGCTAAAAGACCGACTGTTTTGAACAGCTTGCTAAATTTGCTAACGATCCCAATCAATAAAAGAAAAAATTTATTTTTTGACCGATTTTCGCATTTTTTGTAAGTTGCATCATCTTTTCTTGGAATTCAGATTTTGGTCAAAAATAACCATTTTTTAACCGTTTTTCGATCGTAGTTTAGCCAAATCAAGACGTACAACCAAAAGACGGACAGTTTTGAGCAGCTAACATCCTAAGCTAACAAATCCAATCACTTTAAAGGAAATTTATTTTTTGACCCATTTTTTCATTTTTTTAAGGGGTTGCATCATCTTTTTTTGGGATTCAGATTTTGGTCAAAAATACCCATTTTTTAACCGTTTTTCGATCGTAGTTTAGCCAAATCAAGGCGTACAGCTAAAAGACCGACTGTTTTGAGCAGCTTGGAAATTAAGCAACGAGCTCAACGAGGTATGACATTCCTCGATCTGACGTTCATTTTCTTTATAGCAGCCAAAAAACTGAATTTTTAGGGCGAAAAAATGGTATTCCGATTTTGGTCAAAAATACGAGACCCATTTTTTTAGTCAAAAATACGATTTTTCTTTCCAGTTTTTCAATCGTAGTTTAGTCAAATCAAGGCGTACAGCTAAAAGACCGACTGTTTTGAACAGCTTGCTAAATTTGCTAACGATCCCAATCAATTTAAGAAAAATTTATTTTTTGACCTAATTTCGAATTTTTGTAAGGGGGTGCATCGTCTTTTTTTGCAAAAAATGCGAAAAGTCAAAAATTTTTAGGTTTGAATGCTAATTTGTTGGAAATTAAGCAACGAGCTCAACGAGGTATGACATTCCTCGATCTGACTTTTATTTTCTTTATAGCAGCCAAAAAACTGAATTTTTAGGGCGAAAAAATGGTATTCCGATTTTGGTCAAAAATACGAGACTCATTTTTTAGTCAAAAATACGATTGGTATTATTGATAATCAAGTTAACTAATGTCTTTAAAGGTAAATCTCCCAAGTATTTCTGTTGAATAATCATGAATATATATTTCTTATTTTTGAATCCCAATCCCTAGTCTTAATTATTTCTATTACTTACTTTATTCACAGGTCTTTGCCCAAATTGAGCAGTCAAGACGAAGAAGGGGGGGCTGGTCATGGCTTTGGTGGCGGACCGCAACACTTTGAACCCATTCCTCACGATCATGATTTCTGCGAAAGAGTCGTTATAAATGTGAGTTCATCAAATTGTTAACATGAACTGTCCGTAGTTTAAGCCACTTTTTCATGCCAATATTTTAGGTAAGCGGATTAAGGTTTGAGACACAACTACGTACGTTAAATCAATTCCCGGACACGCTGCTTGGGGATCCAGCTCGGAGATTACGGTACTTTGACCCGCTTAGAAATGAATATTTTTTTGACCGTAGTCGACCGAGCTTCGACGCGATTTTATACTATTATCAGAGTGGTAAGCATTCAGTCAATTCCATCTATAAAGTCCACCGAAAATCCTTTGCAACTTTTGTGCAACCCCAGGCTAATGTTTCTCTATTTCTCTCTATATTTTCGTCGTCGCCGAACAACAAACAATGAATACTTGACTTTATTCACACACCGCCCACCAACTCACTACCCAAAAAAAAAAAAAACCAAACACTCATCACGTTCATCCACAGGTGGCCGACTACGGAGACCGGTCAATGTCCCTTTAGACGTATTTAGTGAAGAAATAAAATTTTATGAATTAGGTGATCAAGCAATTAATAAATTCAGGTAAGCCCACGTGTTGCCCACTAGAAATTCCACCATTTCCTTACCAAAGAAACCCCAAAAAAGTAAAACAACATCCAGAAAACAAAAACTAACCAAATATAAACAGAAAACTAAAACAAATCAAATGTAAACAGGACAACAAATTGGTTCGGTTTGTTCTATATTGGTAGCACGGCAAATTTCTATCGAATCAGTGTAATGAGGCATGCAACACGGCAAACAGACCGACACACGCACATAGACATAGAATAGATCCTAGACTTGGCTTAAATACAAACATACATACATGCCTACACATTGCGTTGGCTGGAAGTGCGGTTAAAAGGGAAAGTGTACTTAAAAATATTAAGTTAATCAAAAACTAGATTACCTAACCTTGTAGCTTTAAATAATTTTGGTTTAAGGATCATATACCATATATATTTATATACCAAATTAATGGAGCATTTAAAAAACACGCTTTAGTTATATATATTAAGTTTAATTATATATGTAGATTTTTGGCAACTTTCCCTTAAAACCCAAACATCTCCACCGATGGCAAGGTTGAAGCAAATTTTATTGAATTCAAAAAAAAAGTGTGCAGATATAGATGGACTGGACTGGAACCTGGAAAGTGAATGTTAATCACTTGACCACCAGCTTAAAATTTTGTTGATACGGCACGGGGGGCAGTGTGGCCGGACCCGTGGAGCGGAGATGGAAGGCGGAAAGTCAACCGAGGCAAGGACGTTCGAGGATCCAGCGGGATGCAGCCTACTTAATCTTTTTCAACTCTTTGCTAACTGCCAATGCCAAAATCCAGTCAACCCTTAGCTGCGAGAGACTCAACGCTTCTTTTGCGGCTTTAAATCAATCTCAATATTTTAAGTTTAGCTTAGCTTTCGATTTAAGCCTTTTGCCTGCTTCCGATTAGAGTTGCGAACCAATTAATTAAATTTGTGCCTAAAAATTACCAAAAATACTTAAGGAATGCCACACTCACAGACCCACATACACACCTACCCAAACCAACACTCACACAACATACACGGGAAAAAGACGTTTTAATGCATATTTTATACTAACATGGAACCATCAATCATTCTATATTTGCAGAGAGGATGAAGGCTTTATTAAAGAGGAAGAAAGACCATTACCGGATAATGAGAAACAGAGAAAAGTCTGGCTGCTCTTCGAGTATCCAGAAAGTTCGCAAGCCGCCAGAGTTGTAGCCATAATTAGTGTATTTGTTATATTGCTATCAATTGTTATATTTTGTCTAGAAACATTACCCGAATTTAAGCATTACAAGGTGCGTACGAATCAAGCCGAAGGACCTCCAAGGGATACATATCCATCTCCTTCTCTTTTTTTCTTTTGCTCTTTTGGTTTATATTTGTAGGTGTTCAATACAACAACAAATGGCACAAAAATCGAGGAAGACGAGGTGCCTGACATCACAGATCCTTTCTTCCTTATAGAAACGTTATGTATTATTTGGTTTACATTTGAACTAACTGTCAGGTAGGCCGCTCTCTTCCATAACAAACTATTTATGCGTACACCTAGTTATAAGCTAAGCGAACGAAAGAGAAATATTAGTTTGAACTTGAACTCGAATACAATATCTCTCTGTCCATCTAAAACTCTGTTTTTAATTGAGTACAAACATTGATTGATTTTCCGTTCTCTCCTATTTTGTATTTGATTCATTTATATATTATATATTTCTCTGTCTGTTGCTTTGCTTTCGTTTGACACCCATGGTTTAATTCAACTGTTTCAATCTGAAATCTTCTTTCTCTGTCTTACATTTCTCCCTCTCTCTTTCTCTCTCTCGCTCTCGGTTTCTCTATCGCGCTGTCTGTGTGAATCTTTAAACCAAACCAATCGCTGGTCGTTGTATCGATTTTGTGTGTGTTCAGGTTCCTCGCATGTCCGAACAAATTAAATTTCTGCAGGGATGTCATGAATGTTATCGACATAATCGCCATCATTCCGTACTTTATAACACTAGCGACTGTCGTTGCCGAAGAGGAGGATACGTTAAATCTTCCAAAAGCGCCAGTCAGTCCACAGGTATGAGATTTCTGTTTGCCCAATGCCAACTAAAAAAAAATATCGATATTAATCACTCACACACGAACACACACACTCACAAGCATATACAGTTGAACCGATTAAAGTAATAAGTGTTGCCATCATCATTTATGAGTTGCCTGACATGAAAAAAAGGGGTTGCCTGCCCGCCCCGAACCCAAAAAAAATAAGACAACACAACTTTCAGTCCAAACTTTTCATTTGTTTCAACCTCAATCCATAACGAGTAACCCACCAATCAAACCCATCCCACATCCCTACCCCAAAACCCAGTTTATCGATAACACATGACCAGGTTATGTTCATTGTTGTATATTGCCGATACTAACACAAGCCAAACATCCGCTTACTCACCTATATACATATACACAATCGAGCTATGTAAATGAACATCCATCATATATATATATATAAACGATACACACCAGTACATAACAACATACATATATATATATGCATACCACCTATTATATATATATATATATATATTTCGATAAAATTTTTAGGACAAGTCATCGAATCAGGCTATGTCCTTGGCAATATTACGAGTGATACGATTAGTTCGAGTATTTCGAATATTTAAGTTATCTAGGCATTCGAAGGGTTTACAAATATTAGGACGAACTCTGAAAGCCTCAATGCGGGAATTAGGTTTACTTATATTTTTCTTATTTATAGGTAAGTTCCATACAGTCAAAAAAAAAATCAAAACAAAACATACCACATTTACTTATCGATTTACGAGTTTTATTCAAACAACAAAAACAAAAGAGAAATACTGCAAAACGACTGCGACCATCCAGACAGACTCACCCTCGCCACCCTGTTTCCCCGAAAGCTCTATTTCTAACTATTTCTCTCAGTCTCAATGCCCCCAATACACGTACTTACTATAACTATAACTATAACAACATCGATACGAAAATACCTCGGAATCGAACATCGATCGCGATTTAAAACAACCACAAAAGATACATATATATATCTATCTATGCTTACGTCTGCCTCAAGCCAGCACATTTATGTTACCGCTCATCACAAACCTCTAATCCCCTAAACAAAACCAAAAAAGAAACCGAATCTGTCAAATGTTTCATTGCGCCACAGACAACAACAGCCAACCAATCCACAAATAAACAAAACAACAAAAACAGAGAAGTGTTATGCTTTTTAAGAACTTATAATTTTCAACTTGATTTGCCTCACGAAACTCGGCGAAAGCCAAAAATCCCAGACTTAAGACTAAGCTATACCGAATACGAGAGCTCCCAGTACTTGCATAGATCAAGTATCCATATCTAGATATAGTGTATCTGCAGACACCCTTGTCCCGCTGTCCCAAAACAACTCAAAAACTCAACGATATATTCCCAAAAGAAACCCGAAACGAAACCGCTCCAATAGAGATTAGTCCTTAAACATAAAGCTAAACTAAAGTAAACTAAAGTAACGTAAACTAGTCATACTATATAGTTACAGCCATACACGTCCACACATCCAATAACCCACACCCACTCACACTTAATAAATATACTAGAAGGGAGGCCCTTAGAGCGTGTATCCATATTACTTAGGTGTATACTCGTATAACTCATCCATTACGTATATCTAACTTATTTAGTGTCGTCTAATCCTAGCGCTAAGTAGGTACGAACTATTGCCCAATGGAGCAGCGATACGTTAGCGATCCCCAGATCTTATATCCCAAAAATTGCAGATCTCCCCCGTCAGATCCGCTAAAAAGCTCTATAAGTATCGTTCACTTTGAATATGTTCGTTGAGTTCTCTTCATTTGCGTTTTGTATTACGAATATCAATTTGAATTTCAGTTTGGTTTTGGCTAGCTTTTTGGAAAAACAGCAGCAAAGTCTCTCAGTGTACTCGAATTTTAGTCTATTACTCCTGATATACTCTGACAAAGTGCAAACGGCAGACCAGGGGGCGAAAATGATCAAGTGTTTTTAGCTTCGAATCGTTTCGATATTCCCCAAAATGCCGCGCTCAAGTCGTTGTCAATTTTAAGGACCCCAAGCAATTTGCGCGCAGATCCAACGAATTTTCTCAAGTTTATTTATTCTAAATGTTTCTCTATATGTATAGCCTAACTACCCATCTTATCTAACTCGTTCCCATCCCTTCTTGATCCTTCATGATAATGTGCCCAAACTGCGTTGAAAATGCCTTAAAATTGGCAAACTTCTTGGCATTCAAATTGTCCAACCAAACAAATAAATAAATAGCAACTAGAAATGATGATCGACATATGTTACAACCCTATACATACAGAAAGATCAAGCGAAATTAAACCATCTGTATCAAATTAATTATATATATTTTGTATTGTTGTTCATGTTTTACCACATTCAAGTTGTTCGTAAACCGTAATCCGTAAACCGTTTTCAGTAATCCGTAAACCGTACTCATCATCAACGTTGTCGTTTCAATGTCCATGTCCACAGATTGTGCCGTGGTTTGAATTTTGCTTTTAGTTCTATAGTTTTTAGCTTCTAGTTTCTAATTTCTAGTTGGTAATTTCTAGCTCATAGTTTGTTGTTGTATCCGTTGAACGATTAACGTATTAACCATACCTAAGTATATCATATGTATAATCTATAGTGTACCATATCTAAACTGACATGAACATGAACACATCTATATCAATATATCGTTACCCAAATACTTTCAACTATCTGCATATCTAAATATATATTTGTATATATCAGTTACGTTGAGTTCTGTGTCTGTTATGTTTCACACCATGCCATTCCATTTCATTCCGTTTCGTTTTGTTACGATGTGTTAGATGTTTTCTGTTTAGCTTTCAAAATTGCAGAATCTCCAGGCAACTGCGATATATAACTGATATATACATGTATAGTATATTAATATTTCTAATAGAAATTCGATGGTTGCTTTCGATTCGATTTGTTTCCGTTACCGTATCATTTGTCTTGCCGTAGTGTAGCCCTATCATATTTAACTGTACGCATATACATATACATCGATATATTGATATATATGTATAGAAATCTATTGATATGACTAATTACCTACTACTACTTATGAACCGATAACGTATGTATATTGTATTGTACAGAGTACTTAGCTAGTTTCATGTTTAACTCTAATCAAACCAACAAAAGAAATATAACAATATTCTCTATAAATAAATAATCTTCTGTATAGATAGTTTCCACTGATCAAGTAGTCGTATTAACCTTACTAACACACACACCACCACACACACACACACTCTATCTCTCTTTCTTTCTTTCACACACCCACACTCGTAGAAGCGCAGAGATGTAGGCAACGATCCTTGATCTCTGCTCTTTCTTACTTCGGTTCCCGCCGAGGAACAAGCCAATTTTTGTTATCGCCTTTGTAATATTTTGCTAACTTTTGTGTGACACCCACACAAACACAACCACACGGAGACACTAACTACTAATACATACATACATGTCCAACGAAGAATACTCCTAAAAACATTTTGAATTACATATATATAGTTTTCTTTAACGTGCACCAAATTCCAAAAGAAAGAGAAAAGTACCCAAAACAACTTACTAACTCATAATCATAGTCTTATGTATATCTTGTAGTTGTTTTAACGAACTAATAACAAAGGGACCAATCCACCTTGAAATCTGACGGGATTCAGATACAAGTATCTGCCCCTGCGACCCAATGATCCAACCCAGACCAACCCCCAACCGATTCCCAAGCAGAAAATAACAATTAATTGCACTTTTAATAACGATTGATCTCTATTTAAACGATCTCCATTTGGATCGTAATTCAGGCGTGGTCCTGTTCTCGTCGGCCGTTTATTTCGCGGAAGCTGGCAGCGACAGTTCCTTTTTCAAGTCGATACCGGACGGCTTCTGGTGGGCTGTGGTGACCATGACGACGGTGGGATATGGTGATATGAGGTACAGCCCACGTTTCAGCTCCACACTGCCGTATGGTCCCGGCAATAGCTGCTCTCAAATCCTGCCTTCTTTAACTACACATATCTCTCTATCTGTGTCTCTTTCTTCTTTGTCTGAGTGTTTGTAACTGAGTGTTGTACAGTCTCTCCCATATCTCAACTATATGTCTTTCTAAAGCTTTATGTGTTTCATTGATGTCTTGCTTTCGTCACTCCTAATGCTAATGTATGTAAATAAATCGAAAAATGGTGGTTCCATTCCCAAGAGTTCCGATCCCACGCTGTTCGCCGTGTACAGTTGTGTCCTCCGATAAAAACGGTCTCTCTGTAAATTGTATGCGATGTGAATATGCCATATATGTAATGTTGTGGTTCCTTACGTGGTGATCGCTCGCTTTTATGGACCTAACCCCCTAATCTCCCTGTGTTTTTTGTCTCATTTTCATTTCCGTTCATTAGTATTCCTTTAATGTTTCTTTTGTGGCATGATCGGTTCTATGTTTTGCGTCGCTGTCCAACCCCTCATTCTTTTTTGCGTTATTCATCTATTTAACGTTATGTTCGTCCTTAGTATGTACCTACATCCCCCACTCCGCATCCCACTAGCCCCCAAATAAGGAATGGAGTCTGATTTCGTTTTCAAGACATTCGCTCTATGGTCCACTGTCGCCGTTTGTTCCACCCGCTAAAATATCACCATATTTTTGGGCCCCATAGCAGTATGAACAGCGGGAGGCTCACCAGAAACCGATTTCCTTCCATTGATCCTCTAATTGATCCTACCCATATATTTTAGATAAAGAAAAACGAAACCTTCTAGGTAAGCCTTGATTTTCTGCTTGGGAATGCCGCCGGATTGTGGTGAAGTCGATTCAAAACTCACGTGAATATATCTGAACTCTTTTAAGTTGAACCGAAAACAAAAACACTGAAACTGAAACAGAAACAGAAGCCGTATCAGGTTTGCGAAATGTATTTTGGAACACGAATGCCCCACCATCACATACGTACACCACCTTGACGAGCTTCCGACGCATCCAGACATATAAGACTTACTTTCAAAAAACACTCTTTGGTTAAATGTTAATTTTGAAAAAAAACAATAATAATAAAAAAATAAAAAATACAATAAAAAAACATAAAAGAATATATTACCAATGCAAAGCAATGTTTCTCCCATCAATTTTTTTAGGCGTCGTACTCTTCTCATCGGCGGTTTATTTTGCGGAAGCTGGAAGCGAAAATTCCTTCTTCAAGTCCATACCCGATGCATTTTGGTGGGCGGTCGTTACCATGACCACCGTTGGATATGGTGACATGACGTATGCAAATCTATACAATTCTAACTTTTATGATTACGTTTACGATAACTCCAGTTTTGATTTTACGTTTCGTTTCTATTTCCGTTATCGTTTCGTTTTCGTTTCGTTCCCGCCTTGGGAGCGCCTTCTTTCTGGGCGTTCCATTCCTTCTCCGTTCCACCTCTGTGTTCTGTTCTAATTTTATTTTTCCAACTGTTTGGTTAATTGCGTTATGTGTGATTATTAAAAGCCCGCCCCAAAAACGCTAACCCAACTAAAGCTATCTAACCAAATGTATCCAAAACTAACTGTACTTCTTGTTAACCCCTTTGAGTTTCGTATCTCCCGATTAATAATATGCAAAACCAAACTTAAACGTTGTTGTCTCTTACTTTGACTCGCTGAGCTGTTTGTTTGTATTCGTATTTGTCTATAATGACTTCTATTTGTCTTTGTCTTTGTATTTGTATTTATCTTTGTCTAAAATCTTGCGTTTCATTCCGTTTCGTTGTGTATCGTTTAACGGTTTTCAGTTGGCATCACTCTTACTTTCTCGCTCGCACTCGATCACCCTCCATCTCGCTCTCTCGCGAGTTCCATTACCATCTCATTGCGTTTTCACTTTAAGTCGTTTAGCTGTTTTATACTTTGTGCCAATTTTAGGTATTTGCTTATAATTTTCTTATCGCAAATTACCTATGTAACGTTGTGTCGTTGTTTAGTTCACAAAAGATACCGAAAAAATACCGAAATAATATTGAAAAAAACTGAAACAAGTCATCAGTTCAACTCAATTTAATACTCATACTGTGGGCACTGTAGCTTTATTGTACAGTGCCTTCCATAATCGCCATCATCTAACACACAAGCACAAACTATACACTAAACACACACACACAAAAACACAGAAAAAAACACTGGGTGATGGAACCACGCCCACCGAGCGATAACGATAACTTCATTTGCTGGCCAAACAGTTTATCGAGCTTAACCCCCTGAAACCCCACAACGAACACACAATAAAGCTGGAGGAGAACAAAAACAAAAAAAGGATGGAGGAGACGAGGACGAGCATGCTGCATGTGCCCGATAAACACACTTACCCACTTACATGACACTCACAACCACACACACACACACACACACACCTAAGCGCCCTCATTCACACACGCACACTGAGACACAAAAGTTTAGCTACAGCCGCCTAATGAGCAACAAAGCCCAGCCGCCTGCCAAATCCAATTGCCTATGATACCACGATACCAGAACCCATAAAAAAAGAAGTCTCCACTCCCTCTCTTTCCCATTTTCCTACTTTAACCGGAGGAGGAAAAAGTTTTCGCCACACACTCATGCACCAGGACCACCCCCCCACTCCCCCCCACACACTCTCACAAACACCTGAGCCAGTTGCTCGCACTTATGCAATAATTATGTCTGTATATAAGCACACGAACAAGCTGCCTCGAAAACTGCCAACAGAAATACCAAAAAAAATATACTACTCTACAAAATATATCCAGATATACGCTTACCCACCCGTTGTTCTAAGTGTTGTGCCTTCTTCTTTCGACTTTCGTACTCTTTGCGCCACTTTGATTTGATTTGAACGTTCTCTGCTAGACTAATGCCTACTCAAGCCCTTCTCTCTATAAATATACTTATGTAAGCGTACACCTATCGATATCTATACCTGTATCTGTTTCTATATAATGCGTAATGCCGTATAATTTTGCCAATGCATACAGTATATATGATAAAAAAAAAAACCCAACGCAAAAGAAATTCTAAGAACAAAACGAGAGTTTTACTTTACATTTCTTATATATTTGTATTTTCATTTTATTTATATCGTTCGTTCGTTAACATCGCTCGCTTCCATCCAAACAAACAAATACCAAAAATCAATTTAAAAAAAAAAAACAACCAACCAACTCCAAAATTCTCAATTCAAATAAAATATATATCAATTGTTAATCAAAACCAAAAACAAATATCCCCAACAACCAACAAAAATTGCACCTATATCTTACCATAAAAAACAATATATATAATAATAATAAAAACAAAAAAATGCAACCCTAAAACGCCGGGAAAAATTGTATGTGCAAATGATTGCCAATCGAAAAATTGCATTGTATCGTTTATCGTTTGACACACGATCACGACTATCGATTGAAATCGAATTCCAAATTGAATTGAAAAATTGATTATCTGAAACTGATTGATTGATTGATTGATTTATTGAATGATTGAATGATTGATTGATGGTACAGACCCGTCGGCGTTTGGGGCAAAATTGTGGGATCACTGTGTGCCATTGCTGGCGTGCTGACCATCGCACTGCCGGTGCCGGTCATCGTCAGCAATTTCAACTACTTCTATCACCGCGAAACGGATCAGGAGGAGATGCAGAGCCAGAACTTTAATCACGTTACTAGTTGTCCATATTTGCCAGGTACATTAGGTAAGTTCAACACTGTGTGTGCACACCCCACTCCGAGCCCAGTACCCCAAGCCACGAGCCCCCCGAGTCTCTAAATCTCTATCGCTCTGTGCCTCCTGTGATATATCTGTTGTGGCCTTGGCTCGAGCCTCTATACCCTGTACTCGATTCGCATCTATTCTCCGACCCATCAAACCCCAAAAACCCGCAACAAACCCACCCAGAATACCAACACCCCACTACCGACAGAACCACCAAAACCCAACCACAAATTCAAGTAGAGCAACAAAAAGTAGAACCCGTCGAATAAAAATAGAAACATTTACGAAGAAAGAAACGAATTGTGGATGCCGATGCTGAAGCCGAAGGCGGTGCCGTGTGCCCCCAAAAAAAAACACTAACCAACCAACCACCAACCGAAAGAAACCCACCATACCATCCATCCTCCCGATTGGCAGCACCACCAACTGGCTCCAAAGCGGATGGGTACCGGCACTGCTTTCGAACCAGACACGTTGTCACACAGAGAAAAAATATCACCACAAACAACGGATCGTCGATTTTCAGCTACCTTTGATCTGCGGCATATCAGCACTGTACCTCTGAAATCTTCGAAACCCATAGAAGCTTACTGAATCTTCAAAGATATTTAAAATCACAAGATGACCATAGGATTCGACATTTTTTAACGATAAAATATAAATGTACAAGAATGTACAAAACTACGAACCATAATGTTTCATGTATCTTTAAAAATACTTCGGACTCAAGACACATTTCATATATTACAATACATTACATTCTACACTACAATTATGAATCTTCCTTATAAAGTATGGATGTAGAATTTCACGGTTTCACAATGATATGCCAAAGATTGATGATACAGTTTTAGGATTAATTGAAAAAGTCGAGATGACAATATGAAACAGATGTTATGTTTTTTCTCTGTGCACTGCCGATCACCCAGCACCCCCCGGGCAACCCTGGTGGGCTGGTGGGTGGCGTGCTGCAGCGCCGGTGGGTGGCAACCCTGTCGGTGGGGCAGCGGTATGCGGTATTGACAGCGGTGCCACAACCAACGTGCACGTACTGTGTGTGTTTTGTGTGTAAGCGAGTACTACAGCAAAAAACATTACCGTTACCGATGCATTACAACTGTATGTGTGATCTCCTCTTTCTCTCTTCTCTCTCTCTTCTTTTTGTTTCTCTCTTTATTCCGTCAATTTAATGGCCAATTCGAATATCGAAACGTGACCTCCACACAAATAATTCCCGAAAAACCTATTAAAACCGATAACCCAAAAACCAAAACCAAAACCAAATTCAAATCGAACTCGAACCCATCCATCCAAAAATCCGTTCCTGCATCCCTGGCATTGTGTAAATCCCCCTAATCAAACTCACGTACACACATCATATATAAACACACACACACACAATCTGTCTGCCAACGCGTGATATACACTGCGACAAAACACACTAAACAAATGCATACAAACCACCAAGTAGGTCAACACATGAAGAAATCATCGTTGTCCGAGTCCTCATCGGATATGATGGATTTGGACGATGGTGTCGAGTCCACGCCGGGATTGACAGACACACATCCTGGACGCAGTGCGGTGGCTCCATTTTTGGGAGCCCAGCAGCAGCAACAGCCGGTAGCGTCCTCAATGTCGATGTCGATCGATAAGCAGCTGCAGCATCCACTGCAGCAGCTGACGCAGACGCAACTGTACCAGCAGCAGCAGCAACAGCAGAACGGCTTCAAGCAGCAGCAGCAACAGACGCAGCAGCAACAGTCCCACACAATAAACGCAAGTGCAGCGGCGGCAACGAGCGGCAGCGGCAGCAGCGGCCTCACAATGAGGCACAATAATGCCCTGGCCGTTAGTATCGAGACCGACGTTTGACTACTGGGTAAGTGTTGGATAACGTCACTCGCTTGCTGCACTGACCCCTCTCCCCCAGATCACCACCACTCTCCCATCTATATCACACTCTCTATCTATATCTTGCTCTGGCACACTCATTTCTCTGGCCCTAACCTCAACCCCCAAACCACCGTGCACCTTGAGCCGTAGAGCGTAACTAGGTTTAAGTGTTGCAAAATGCCAAAAGCAAAATGCAAAATTCCAAAACGGTACGTTCGCACTGGTCGCAAGGGATACAGGACAGTGGAAACCCTATGTTTTGCTGCACAATGAGAGAAAAAGAATGTATAACACATAAATTATCATTTAAACTGCAGATGCTGCAAAATAAAATCAACAAATTCGGATATCGATCGTTTTTTAAGGAGTATATTATACTAAAACTTAATTTAATGATTTATTTTTTAAATAATGGAATCAGAAGCCCCAAAACAAATTGTTACCAAGAATCTGTACCATATTTCCATCCACTATCATAAAAAGAAATGTAAATTCAATTGTATAACTTCAAAACTCAAACATTTTTTTTCTCTGTCCAGTGCGAACGTCCGATCAATTAAATTGAACTGAATTGAATTACGATTTGATTAGAACATAACTTTTTCTCTCTTTTCTCTCCACGTGGCGCGCTCTTCTACCTACGCGATACACATGTTTGCCTATGTTTACGTATAAACCTAATCCTAAATTTAAACCTTTGCCTACGTCTCGATCCCTATGTATGTATTACCATATGTATGATGTATGATATATGTATATGATATTCGATAAATGTATGACATATAAATTAAATCAGTGCAAAAGACGTTGCGTGGTATAAATTTGGCCTTGACAGGAGTTACGTTGGATGCCAGAAACGACTACAAAAGCTGTTTATATTTAATTTAAGTAGAACAAATAACAAAAACAAATTTAATCTATTGCTAAACTAAATTAAATCTAAATTAAAACTTAAATTAATTTAATTTAATTAAATTATACATCTAATGATAAACAACATAAAAAACAAAACTCAAGTCCCAACCAGAACAAACAAAAAGCAAGATAATGAATGAGTAAGGGAGTAACAATAAATTCGAGTAGTATGGCATAAACCAATAAAATGAAAACAATTGACAAATAACAATGATTAGAAGAAGGGAGATGAAAGCAACAGCATAAACATCGAAGAAGTGTTGGCAGGATTTAAATCAAATTTTTAACAACCGAAGCTGAATAACAACCCGATCAAATTGCAACTGCAAAGGGAAACTGTAAATAGTGCAAGAATCATTAAGCTCACACGCCATTATTTTAGCAGGAATAATACAGAGGAAGTAATGCTTTAAAAACTCCGGTCGGAAGGACGACTGATGAAGCCAAGCACAGTGAAGCAAGTCCATGCTGAGGGATGTCCCTTTAAGAAGCTGAAAGAGATATACTCACAAAGCAGATTTCCGATTTGCACACTCAGTCACCGAAGAACACTCACACACATTAAAAGAAAGTATAGTAAAACTGCCGTAATATTTAACTAAGAACCGAAACCAACTTGTATAGTCATCAAGGAAAAACCGAGGAAACCCCGAGGCAATATCTGCTTTTAAATGTGAGAGGAAATACTATCGTGTAACTAACTTAGACAGCTAACCATCGGAATAACTGAACTAACCAACTAGGCATATACACAAAAACACACATATATGTGATAGATGTATTATGTGTATTACCTAAACAACATCGTTCGTAACACTACTCGAGACCCTTTGTTTTTTGATTAAAGCTTAAGAGAAATCTATACCCTCCCACCTCTCGCCCACCCAACCCACTTCGAACCTCTCACCTATGTAACTCGTATAACTACTAACTAACTGAACCCATATCAGCTATATCTTCTGCTTCGATCCCCCCGAATTAAAACGAAATAAAAAGTACAAATATTCAACTAAAGGCAAAAGCGAAACAACTAACGCACTCGTAAACAATACGAATGCTGCAGATGCAGATTCAGTGCTTAAAGGAATTTAAGGAAAGGCGAAACGACTGCAATAAAACTACAAGACCGAGAATTAGTCAAAACATCCAACGGATTGCTCGAATTCCCCACTCACAGATCCGCTCAATCACAATAAAATCGCAAACAAAACAAAAAAAAAGGTGGCGACAAGAGATACAACAAAACAGAAAACGCTCTTATGATTTTTTTAATAAAAGCAAACTATATACCACAAACAAAAAAGTAAAAAAGAACAACCGAAACCAAAACTAAAGGTAAATGTTAAACTAAAAGATGGGGCTCTCCAGCGATGATTTCTTCGACTGAATTGCAGGGGTTGGTCGATACCCTATCCCCAACCACACAAGAAAAAACCCCACAAACCCTTTCACAGCAAAAAAAAACACAAGAAATTGTTGACTGAACTATGCGAATTCAACTTTTGCATTAAATGTATTATAATAGAGAAACAAACTCCACTATATATATATGTAATATGAAGATATATATTTATGTGTGTATAAGTGTATACCAAGCTGCATAGATAAATATATTTATCATATATGTATGTGTATGTAGGAGACCTGTACATAAGAAGGGTTGCTCTTGCCGATGTAAATTGATGGATAGCCATGGCAACTAGATACCGATCATATTCAAGTGTAAATTTTAAAAAGCTTCGAGAACCGTCCACACAAGCACACTTTCACACGCACTTACGTACATTTATATAATATATAGATGGATAGGGGGCGGGCCAGGGTCAGGGGTGGAGAGTTTGAGAGGGGGTCTTAGAGTCCGAGGCCAACAGAAAGATCCGGAGGAGCAGAGCAGAGCAAAGTGCCTTAAGGAACATTGTGCGCTGGCCGACTCGATCCCCTCTTCCCCAGCCCCTGACCACGAGAGGCAGGCCCCCCTTCCACCCCCGCCCCTGCAGCCCCTTGCAATTCAGTAGAACCAGCTGAAAAAGGCAAGCGAACAATAATGCAACGTTTCCAAGGTCCCACAGTGGAGGCCAGATATAAAGGGCCAAGCGACACGTGGACACTGTGTAAATAATCGCCACCCGAACCAGAGAAAGGAAATAGGGTATCCCCACTGTGGCTGCTAACTGCTGTAAATACTCTCCAATTAAAACTAAATCTTGCAAATGCTATTTTGTACAAAAAAAAACAAACACCTAACCATAAACTGGATAAAAACTAAAGAAATTATATAATAAATGAATAATATAAAATAACATAAAATAAAAGAATAACACATTCAAATGTCAGTTCATTGTACTGTACTTAGTCACTATATCCGTAAGAATGCTAGGATTTATAAGATGAATAAGCATTAGAGAAGATGAAGATAATGGTCCAGACAAAGACGATGAAACTTGCAAAACACCAAAAACGAACGAGGATTGAGGAGAGGGAAATGAAGCATAACGAAAAGAAAACCGCCTACTTAAGATTAGATTTCATGTTTTAGATCGGTCAGAGGAAATGATTTTAGCTTCATAGATACAAGATACCAGATAGCAGATAAACGATTAAAGGTCAAAGATACCAGATACATGATAAATGAAAATGAAAAATGAATTCAGATAGCAGATACAAAGAGCCGAGTGTAAAGTAAGGTTGTTTTTTTTTCCTAGCCTTAATCTAGACAATTGAATAAATTTAGCAAACATAACTGTAAATGAGTCTAAGAAATACCGATGTATAGCTGAATTTAGACATTTATTTTAATTTTATTATTACAATTATACGTTCATATTTTGTCCTACATCTTAAGACTTTGATTTAATCACAAAATAAGCCACTATAATTAAAGAACAACAAAAAAACAGAAAACAAGAAACCACAAATAAATCGGAGAAAACAGAAATTGAAAGTCGTGTTAATATTTACCTAAAAAAGCTTAAAAACTGAAATTATAAAAACCAAAAAAAAAATCAGAAAAAAATTTGGAATAAATGTGTTCAGCAAAAGAAATGTTATTATATGTTTAAATAAATTACAATTAATTCGAAATGAACAAAAAATTTAATGTAATTAAATTGAGCTAAGTACACAAGTAAAATTTAATACAATTTCAAATTGTACATAAACACAGCATATACATATACAAAGGAAACATGTAGCATGTAGCATATACCCAGACATATGCATATGCTGCAACCGAATTACAAGCTAGCTATCCGCAGACTAAGCGCAGACTAAAATACGAAAAACAAAAACCTTGAACATACCAAAGAAACCAAAGAAAAACTAAGTACACAAGATGAACAGTGAGAAGATTAAGAAAACGGAACCCCATGCTGATCCAATCCGATCCGAACCCACAATAAAGAAGCGATATCGAAGCAAATAAATTGAGAAAAGTGTTTTCGAACCGTTTTTTATTTCGCACAGTTCCCTGTGCCCCAATCCCCACAACCTTGTAAATAATAATACTCGCTACTCTATTCGACTTATCCGTCTCATTCCATTCCGATTCGCTCCGTTCCGTTCCATAAATGTACGTATATTTTTTTCTATTTGTATTTTGGCCATAGATCCGTAGTTAGTCGAGTCGAAATGGAATCGGAATCGGAACCGTATCCTTATTTCGATCTAGGATCTAGTCTGATGCAAAACCGCTAGTTCTGTATTCTTAGTTCGTATTGTAATTGTATTAGCTGGCGCTCAAAAAGAAACCAAAAAAAAAAAGGAAAAGAAAACCTAACGAAAAATACTGAATTGTAAATATTTGATTTCGTTTCGTAACGTATGTACGAGTATCTTGTGTGAGCTCAACCTAAATCTCGTCTTTGGCATATCAATCACTCCCAGCTGCAGTTGAGTTATCCAATCAGTAATCAGTCAATCAGTCGATCAATGCTAACCGATTAGATACACCCACATATTATACTATATACACACATACACATCCGCAAACATGACTTAGGAGCTGAAAGCGCATTTCATTTGGTTTTCGTATTACTTTCGTATGCTTGAACTATGCTCTACTCAACTCTACGCTCTACTCAACTCAACTCTAGTCTAGCCTACTTTAACCCAAAAGCGAAATGCATTAAATGAAAACGAAAATGAAAAAGAAAATCTTAGCACGATACTCTAGTGAATGGAAACCCAGAAGAACAACAAGATGATGAAAATTATGAAGAAGCAAACATATCGTTGTAAAGCAAGAACTAAGTTATGAAAACCACGTATAACTCAAAAAGAAAAGTCTAACTTACGAATGCATAATTATTTTCGAATATAACACTAACACGCCACAACAAAACATTTGACTTCTCCAGTTCAATTCAAACCAAATACAATCTTTTCAAGTTTTCCATTAAATTTAATTGCAAACCTAACAAAAACAATTTTAAAACACATACGTAAAAAAATATATATAAAATAATGAAAAACATTTTGATTGTACGGTCTATGATGAAACAATATACATTTACCATATGCTAAATACGAGTAAATCAAAACAAAAACCAACAAAAGAAAAAAAAAATAAATGAAATCTTTCAAAATCTTCTCAATGCTTCAAAAACAAACAAAAAGAAAGCAAATTTCTATTAAGGACAAAGACTGCAAATAGAGATTTAAAAAAGTACACTTAAAAACCAAAAACAAAAGCAAAACATTTTAATTAACTGATTTTTAATTCTAATTTGGCCTTGATTCAACTTACCAGGATATAAGTTTAGGTTTAGTTAGAAGTTCAAGACACAACAAAACACAACATAACACAATCGAACCGGACAGGACCGGACAGAACTGAATCGAATCGAACTTTCAATTTGGAAAACTCCACCCGACCCAAGAAATAGTGCATCAGCAATAGCATAACATTCAACTAATAACAATAACACAGAACCAAAGAACATAAACCAGTCCTTAACAAGCAAGTCAAAGCAGATGATAATGATAATATATAATACAAATTCGAAAACGAAAACAAATAACAGGCGCAATAATCCCCATAGAACAAAGTCTAGTATTACGCCTAATAAGATATTACAAAAAAACGAAAACTGAAACTCACACACAAATTAAACCGAAAGAAACAAAAAGAACGCAAAATAAAAACAAAACAAAAATGGAAATGTTGTTAAGATTAAAAATGAAATGTTTTATAATCGTTATTCAATAAAAATACAAAATAAATAAATTTCCAAGAAATCATTAACCCAATAAACGCAAGCAATGGCACAATTCGAATTCATTCGAACAATTTTAGCTGTAATCTACTACCATCCCAACTCCTAGCTAAGAACCCCAACCGATTTGCCCCAAAATCCCTTTTTTAGTCAATTTTAGACTAGCTGGTAGTACTTGCTTTGTGTTCGTATCTCTATCTGATTAATTTTTGGGTAGACTTACTCGAAAGGGATGGCATTAGATCTAGTTAGTATCACTACCTTTATTCCTACAGTTATCGTAATTATAAGCTTTGGCTCTAGTTCCCTAGATCTAAGTCCAACCCTTGTCCCGAAAAGGGGGGGCTTGGCACCTCCCCTCTTTTTGAACACATGAACGCAGACAGACAGCCCCAACACACACACCCCAGTCATTAACCATTGTATCCATAGCAAATATATATACTCGTATACAAAAATGCCATGCCAGTAGCACATTCCATTGCAGACATTTCCTAGCGTAGTTTAGCTCTATTGCCCTCCTACCCTCACTCCCCAAAAGAAATACATACCTACACATATCTCCGTGAGCACACACTCTATAGCAGATTCGCGACAAACCGAGTGATAACCATAAAAAAAAGAAATATTTAAAAAGAATATCCATGCAACTTACTGAAAATCTTGGAAAGTTGAAGTCCAAACAGGTTAAACCCGGCCCGGCAGTCAAAGCGATGCTAAACCAACGAATGGTGAGTTTGAAAACCCCCGAGACCCCTCTCCAAAACCCCCGGTTATACCGTCTCTTTAACAGTACCCTATAATATATATATAAATTTCTCTCGCTCCCTAAGAAATCGCCAAGTCTCAGTCGGTTTTTTCCCCTGTCTATCTATATATTTTTGGTTTTGACTTTAACTATATTCGTATTCGTTCTCTTTTTTTATTTTTATGTATGCCTCCGCCTCCATTTTGATTTTGCCTATGCCCTCGGATCTACGCTCTATATAATATATATATATATATAATATATGTACACCTCTCGATTTACGTATAAGCATTGATTGACCATAATAATGATAATCGAACTTGGAATATTTTGTAAACTTTTGCTTACGTTCTCCCCCTGCGCCGAATGTAAAACTGTAAGAATCGCTTCAGCGCTCAGCCGCCTGCACCTGCTCAGCCGACGCTCCTGCGCTATCCTGCTATATCGTTACCGTTACCGTTACCGTTATCGCTATATCATTACCGCTATCGCAACCAGCAATGCCAGCAGCAGCAGCAGCAGTAGCAACAGCAGTAGCAGTAGCAGCAGCAGTGACTGCAGCAACTGCAGCATCTGCCGCAGCAACAACATCAGCGTCTGAAACAACAACGAACAACTAGGAAGATCTAACAGCCCGCAAAATGCTGAGGCTGGCGGCTCCTGCTTCTGCTCCTAAGTCCCGTTTCCCTGTGCTTCCCGATTCCGGTGCATGTGCAATCAGTTGCTGTATCCAATCGAAATCGAATAAATCGAGAATCGATGTTGAGATCGCGACAGTACCAGAATCAGATCGCGTCAAGCGCAATCTGCCAGCAAATTCAAATCCAAGCAAAGCAAATCAAAGCAAACAAAAAACAAAAAGCAAAGCAATCCCAAATCAAAAGCAAAGAAAAACAAAACGCAGTACCCAAAACCCAAAAAAAAAACACACAAGGGCGCACGCTTAGCACATTTGCATAAATACAACTTACTTGCTACCTATATCTCCACAGCCAACACACCCAAAAAAACACACACACACACACAGAACACACACACACAATCACACAGGAATGCAATCACACCAACTAAAGAGTTGAATCGAAACTTTTTTGGCTTTTCTACTCACTTTGAACACGTTTTTTCTCTCGCTTTAATTTTGATTTCGTTTCTTGACTCGAGTACTCGAATGAGCATTATATCAGCAACTACTCTTTGCCTAATTACGATCGCTTACCTATACCTAATCTCTATATTACGAACACATTTATAAGAACACGCCCGAAAAAGAAAAACACACCGCTGCACGGCCACTTTCTTGTAAATGCGAGAAAGTTGCCGAGTAGCCTTGTCCACTCAAACCCCTGAATTCGTCATCTGCCATTCGCCATTTTCATCCTAAAAGCAAAAAAACGAAGAATTTCAATGCACACACACACAGTCATGACAAACACTCACAAAATTGGAAGAAATATGAACCGAATCATACACCCAAAGTACAGTCAGATCAAAACCCAAAGTACAGTCAGATCAAAACACACAGTCAGACAGTCTACACAGACGATCCCAAACTGAGGAGAAGAACAAGCTCCGAATGACGACGATGAAGAAGAAGAAGAGAAGAACGAGTAACTGAGACCCCCGATGACAAAGAAGAAGCGGCAGAACAAGAAGACAAAGACAGCCGAGGATCAGTCGCTTCTGCTATGTGTCTCCCTCCAACCTCCGCGCCCCACCGCTGTGTCAGTGTGTGTGTGTGCCCAAGCAGTCGGCGGATGGCTCTCTTTGCTATCCTACACCGTTACCGTTAACCGATCGTCGATCCCTAACCGGATCGGCGAGGATCGGTTCGATTTGCTTTGGTTTTTCCACACATCTCTATCTATGTATATTCATTTTATGTCAAGTTTAACAGCGACGACGCCAAACGCCGGCACATTTTGTTTATTCCATTTGGCAATGAGTACGCTTCGGTTTTTCGTTAGCCAAACCAGCCCTGCTATCCACCCATCATCTATATGTATGAGTATACCACGATAATTTCGTCTTCTTGTTTTTTGAACTTCGGTTTTGATTTTGATTTTGACTTGAGTTTATAGTTCTCCACCCTCAGTTGATTTTTGTAACCGATATTGGTTGCCTCCAACGAATTGCTTTCGATGTTTGCATACATATACTTATACGAATACCAATAACAATAACAATACCACTACCTATACTTATACCAATACCTAGTTGAGCTTTTAGTTTTGACTTTTGCTTCCCCTTGAGTTCAGTAATCGCTTATCCCCACCGCCTCCCCACCCACGGATACTTACTCGAACGCCTCCAGCCATCCATTAAAATAACTCGTATCGCTTCGTTTTTGTAAACCATATGTATCTGTTGTGACACGTTATTCTCTTTTGCGTTCTTAACAAGTTATTAACACTTTAGTTGGACCCGGAGCTACTAGCTTGGGTCCCCGAATCTAAGCCGCTATCCTAGAATAGTATATTGAATATATCAAAACTTATAACTTATTTCTATTTGTTTGTTTTTTTACCACCTGATTTACATACTGCGTTCTTCTTCTACGTTCTTCTTCATACCAATACCAAACCAAACCAAAAAACAACCAACAAAACACACCAAATTCAATTGACTTTGAAACGAATTTGCATATTTAAAAACGGATCGGATCGGATCGTATCGACTCGAATCGATTTAAATATACAAACCAATTCGAACTCGAAAACACCCAACGACAACGACCCATTGACAAACATGAATCGAATCCACAAATATTGCCATTAAACAAACGAATGCATTCAACAAAAATGCATCCAGGCCCGTCGGCTTCTGGGGCAAAATTGTCGGCTCTTTGTGCGTGATCGCTGGTGTGCTGACAATCGCACTGCCGGTACCGGTTATCGTCAGTAATTTCAATTACTTCTATCACCGCGAAACGGATCAGGAGGAGATGCAGAGCCAAAATTTCAACCACGTTACAAGTTGTTCATATTTACCTGGTGCACTAGGTACATACTACTACTACTAGCGGTTAAGAAAATCCCAAAAAAATGAAAATGAAAAAAATATATCCCCAAATCCCTGAATCCCGCCCAATCTAAGCAACCCAATGACTGCCCCGTTTTCTAATCGTTGTATCTGATCCACGACCCCGGATTGTAGGTCAACATTTGAAGAAATCCTCACTCTCCGAATCGTCGTCGGACATCATGGATTTGGATGATGGCATTGATGCAACTACGCCAGGTCTGACTGATCACACGGGTCGCCATATGGTGCCGTTTCTCAGGACGCAGCAGTCATTCGAGAAGCAGCAGCTCCAGCTTCAGCTGCAGCTGCAGCAGCAGCAATCGCAGTCGCCCCACGGCCAGCAGATAACGCAGCAGGCACAGCAGCAGCAGCTGGGCCAGAACGGCCTACGAAGCACAAATAGTTTACAGTTAAGGCATAATAATGCGATGGCCGTCAGTATTGAGACCGACGTCTGACTACTAGGTGAGTATTGGTTTCCGTGAGTATAAACAAGGCCCCACGTTGGGCGCCAAAAACTTATTTTTATACATCAATCCCACATAGGTCCCACGTTGGGCGCCAAATATATTTTTGAGATCTGTAAATTTTTATAATACTTACCTAGTATTAATCTTGCTTTAACAAATATAACATATACAAATGCATATTAAAAAAAATTCAATTAGAAATCGAAATGTAGTCGTATTTATGGAAAAGTCAATAAAATTAGTCATACAACTTAATTATTTTAAATTACTTGGCTGTGGTTTTTTAGACCCTTTTTATATTTTTGTAAGATCTTTCCAAGTCATAGCACTTAATAATAAGTAATACCCTAAAGCATTTAGCACACGCTTGCTTTTCATAGTTCAACTACTATTAAATAGATAACAACTATATTCCAAGGCAACATTTATATCTTTTGGTCACTCTCTTTATCGTTCTCCTTTGACTCTATTTTACAGTCAAACAAATGGAAAATGGACGAAATTTGCGCAGTGAAATGCTACGTTGGATGCC